GATCCAAAATTTGTATAATCAATCACCAAAATAAAAATGAAACTGAGTGTTTTACTTACATTTAAAAGTTTTGACTATTTTTCGTGTACTTATTTCGAGTTTGAGTACTTATTCAGGTTCAGGTTTGGTTTTGTGTACTTTTAGGATTTTTAGATTTCAGATATTTGTTCAACTTCGGATAATATGGATATCTGAACTAGCGTAAAAAAATGATCCAATTAAGTATTATTTAGATTTTGTATCGGGTTTGGGTCCGAATTTTATGCATGACCCTATTGCAACCAGCAAATGAAGATTATGTGTCTAACAAGAGAAGCTAACATATAATTTACCTTTATTGTCATTCTCAGGTTGTGACACCGTATCTCCTTGTGGAAGAGTAATAGCACGACTAATCATAGAAACTCTTGTCATATTCTCAGAAGATCCACAGATAGGATAAAGATCCCACCGGAAGTAACAGCTTGGAAGCCGACCCGCACCGCCCTGGCTTCCCCAATTATTGTTTTGAAAGTTCAACACACATTGGCTAAGACATTTGTTGCACTCACTAGATAAAATGTCAGGAGTGCATTGCATCATCATGTAAACATTTGCAAATTCTGTGAACTCTGCTCTTACGACGCTATAGAACTTGAGCACAACTGATGAATTTTCAGGAGCTGAAGTAGCAGACTGCATTGTTAGGTTAGTCAATGCTTCCCATTCTCGTCGGAAAAGCTTAAGGCTCTTAGGTTCCTCTATGATTAAAGGGTTATCTGACAAAGTAGGTGGGAAAAGCTCGAGTTTCGCAGAAACAGAATGATTAGCGTACCGTATAAGGCAAGAAGCATTGTCACTGTCTCTAGTGGTCCACCTGAAAGATTTCATTCGATTTGGGCATCTTTGTTGCGATTCTTGAATCGCTTGCTCCACGCAGTTCACGCAAGCTTGCTTCGGGTAGCCTCGTCCACAAAGGGCAAGTCCGTAAACTTTGTTGGAGCCTTCTCCGGTTGAAGTGTTGTAGAAACCGTTGTTAGCGATGACGTTACTTGCAAGAGAAGAAAAAAGAGAGTTAAGGTTTTCGCTGTAAGTGCTGTTAACGGCGAATAAGCCGCCTTCACAATCTGCTTCAACGTCTACAAAAGTTAGAAGGAGAAGAAAGCAAGAGAAGAGAATTACGTCACACAATTTTCTCATTTAGGTTCAATTTTTTTTTCTTTAATTCATGTTGTCATTGCCAAAAATAGGCAATATTTATAAGATAAATATTTGCCTAGTTTATGGGTCGTAATTGGCAACGAAGTCCAAGTTGGTTCAAAGTTGTCAGTCAAGTAGTCCTTATATATAATGAATAATGATAAATTTAAAACCATGGGCTCTTGTCTCTTTACCGAAGATACGTGGTTATGGTTTCGCGTCTCACTACAACTGGTTTTATTTTGGAATTGTACCTGATGGATCTTAGGGGTGGGCATTGATCTACAATGCCGTAATTTTGATATTTGTAATTTACCTTGTAACTTACGGATATCTAATTTTGATTTGTGATTTATTTCGTCTTTAACGAATATTAATTTTTAATATTTATTTTGCTTTGAATACTTATAGATATCTGGATTTTTCGAATCGAATCAATATTAGTAACGAAGCAAATCAAATTTAAAAGACAAAATATCCAACCCTAATAGATCTATTAATGTAAGTATGTAACATAACATGATGCAATTATTTTTGCGAAAGCCCAATTTATAGATAAACTTTTAATAGTTCACCAGTAATTTCTCTCTTATCTTTTGATTTCAAGTATCTCTATATTTGAATATATAATTTTCTTATAAATTTTGAACTATTGTTTTTTTACTTAAACGTGTTAAAATGGTAAAATTCATTTTGTTAATTAACCTAATGAATCAATAAATGCTAATACATTTTTATATATTTTATTATCAATAAAGATTATCTGATTAGTATTACTTTAGTTATATGTTAATGCACACTTACAATTAATATATATATATATATATATATATATAATATGATGATATATATAAGTTGATGTAAAATATTATAATGTAAATTTGTTTAGTTTATTTTTATTAGTGTGATATATATTTTTATTTTAATGGTAATATATAAGTTATTAGTTATTAATATACTTCAAAGTTTTGTCCAAAATAAATTGTTATATAGAAAATATATTTTATTAATAGTATGAGACTTATTAGCAATTGCCATATTTAAAAAACCTTTCAGAAAATCATATACTCTTACAAAATAATTTTACATGTCAAGTCACGTTAATGTTCATTTCTTTTGAAAGTAATGTCATCTTTTCTGAATAAATTTGCTGATGACATATATGCAAATCATTTTGTAAATAATGTTTATGTGATGAAGTTATATATTTTCTAGTTTATCTTCTTTCCGTTAGAATCATATTAACGAAACAACCTAGAAACATTTATATAGTAAGGAAATTGTCTTGGTCGGTACATCGGAGTTGGTTGATGAGGCGTGCTCATCCTTTGTAAAAATAGGCAACCGCCTTAGGCCCCCTAATTTTAGTTAAAATTTAGGTCCCCATTTATATATACAATGCACTAGTTATAATGCTTACATATATGTGTGGAGTTTGATTGATCATATCTCTACATTATAGTTTGAATTTTTTTAGATTTTAATTATAAATATAGCTAAGTATCTACCAGTTTTGTTCTTTATAAACATACCAAAAACTTATATGAAGATGTCATCTGAGAAAAAAATTGCCTTAGGTATTGTCAAAAGAAAAAGAATTGCCTTAGGCCCCTAAAATCGTTTGCACGGCATTGGGTTGATCGAGGTTCTGGAGTTTGGCTAAGGCTATTGGAAAATAAAGTATTCCCCGTCATAATTTTCACACTTGGTTAATGATTCTGGTTAGGCGCCCTCTCTCCTCGGTGGAAAGCACCGAGATCCTACCAATTTCAATCAAAACTATTGGACTTCTATTGGTAGTGGGCATAGAAAAGACTTTAATATGAGATTCACTTATGGACATGGCTACTAAAGTCTTTTAGGTTTGTATGTTTTTCATATTTCTAGTTCTTTATTGAAAGTCTTTTTTACAAAAAAGAAAAGAAAAAGAGAAAAAGAAAGTATAATTTAACGTGATAGATAGGTTCATGTATCCGAAAGGAAGCAGCCTGAGACCTTCATGGAAGATCATACCTAATTTCACTGATGCAGCGGAGTGCGAACTATTTTTTTATAGTGTATTTACTTCAAAGTATTTAAAAGTTTGATCTATTGGTGCCTTTTTCTTAAAAAATTCAAAATAGTATATTGGGGCATTGAATGGGTGTAGAATTTTTAAAGGTATAAGATACAAAATGATATATTTTTCTCCATTTTTTTTAGTGGATGTTTTGTTTTGAGTTTTATGATATTTCGGGTTTATGGATATTATCCAAATCGAACCCAAAATTAAATGGATATTCGATAGAACATAAAACATTCAAATATGCTAATAAGTACGTGTACTGAATACGATTTTAATTCCTAATATATATCCAAAATACTTTAAGATATTACTAAACATTTAAAATAATTATCTATTACATGAAGGTTGATGGTTGAAAGAGACGGTTGAAACTTGAAATTTTTAAATTAAGGTTTTGTTTCTATTAAATAATGTTTCTCATTTTTTTTAAGAATTTGGTTTTTGTTTTATGCTTTATTTATTTGTTTTTTTATTAATAACTATGTTTACCTTTCATTTGATTTTGAATGATCGGAATTGATGTTCCTTTCTTATTTTTAAATCAATTTTACTTGTGTTTTGGTTACAAACTAGTTACACATCAGGTACTTTAAATCCGAAGAATCAACTTTACTTATGTTTTGGTTACAAAGTATATATAAATCAGGTATTTTTAAACCAAAGTACCGATTGACATCCGAATCCGAAAGTATAACGGGTTATATCGGTTATTTAAAGATTTACTAACCCCGACCCGAACCCGATAGAACCTGAACCGATCCCGGACCGAACTTTTAAATAATTTGAATGGGGCTAATTTTGATTAACTCAAAAAACCGAAACCGGATTCGACAAAACCGAAACTTGATTGGGATTCCGAATATCCAGACCTAGTGATTATATAAAAAAAATTCAACAAAAACTTATTATTCCGTACTTAAGCGCATATCAAAATCTAATTAGCATTAAAAGTAAATAAATGATTTCTACTAGTGGCAAAGCACACACATGATACTTGAAAATTAATAATAATAATGTCACTTATATCAATCAACGGGGTTTTATCTAGTAAATAAAAACCAACAGTGATTAGGAAATACATGGGGTGTGAGTAATGATTTGTGTTTTGAAAGATTTATCGAGTAATCGGTAAGAGTTGTAACAACTTTACACAAAGGCGAGGAGAAATCTCTTGAATGCCTTTTTTCTCAAGTCATGTATCATTTAATAAATCTTTAATCGTCTCTGTTTGTTCTATTTGAGTCACGTAAAAATTGAATCCTTACATGCAGAATTGTCTATTTTATTTAAGATTCGTAATTCAAATGAAGGGATTATTTGTAATAAGGGAACTTAATTACATTCATTAGAGATGGTTACAACTTATATAGTGTACGTATAAGAGTTTACTCGAGTAATATATTTACATAATAGTCCTCATATTATCTATCTCTTACACGCCTCCGCAAGACGGAGGCAGGTGTGTGACTCCGATCTTGGAAGAGAGTTCAGTGAACCGTGGTCGGGCTAATGGTTTGGTTAGAGCATCCGCGAGCTGATCTCGTGTGGAGATATGAAAGACACGGAGAGCACCTGACTGAACCTTTCCCCGAATGAAGTGATAATCCAGCGCGAGATGTTTCATTCTGGAGTGAAAGATAGGGTTGGAGGAGAGATATGTTGCTCCTACGTTGTCGCAATACACCACCGGTGCAGCAGGAAGTGTGATGCCTAGATCAGAGAATAGTGAACATACCCACGTTAGTTCAGAGGCGGTATTGGCAACAGATCGATATTCAGCTTCCGTCGAGGACCTAGCCACACCGCTTTGTTTCTTCGAAGACCATGATATAGGATTGGAGACAACATAGACAATGTAAGCATTCGTGGAGACATAGTCGTCCGTGTCGCCGGCCCAGTCGGCGTCAGAGTAAGCGTGAAGCTGGAGGGGAGTGTTCCGGCGGAGAAGTATCCCATGTAAGGTCGTGCCTGCAAGGTAGCGTAACACTCGCTTGACCGCTTGCCAGTGCAGATCGGTGGGCTGGTGCATAAATTGCGATAGGCGGTTAACAGCGAAGGCGAGATCAGGTCGCGTGAGAGAGAGGTATTGCAGACTCCCAACAACACATCGGTACTCTGTGGGTGATTGGAGAGGCGTTCCAGAGGTAAGTGAGAGCTTTAGTGTCGGAGACATGGGTGTAGCAGCAGGTTTGGCATTAGTCATCTTCGTCTTGTCAAGGAGATCAGTGATATATCTCTTCTGCATCAAGTGCAGATCAGAATGTGTTGGAGTTGCTTCTATGCCAAGAAAATATCGAAGCTGACCAAGATCTTTGATAGAGAATCGGGCTGCAAGAGTAGAGATGCATTGCTGAACAAGCCGTGTAGAACTACCAGTTATGAGCATGTCATCGACATAGACAAGCACATAGATGTAATCCGTAGCTACTCGTTTTGTGAAGAGCGATGTGTCAGCAGCACTGTTGACGAAGCCGAGTTGAAGTAAAAATTTGCGGAGCTCAAGGTACCATGCGCGGGGAGCTTGGCGCAGGCCGTAGAGTGCTTTTCTTAAGCGACAAACATGATGAGGTTTATCTTTGTCCACAAACCCCTGAGGCTGAGCAACATAAACTTCGTCTTTCAAGGTGCCTTGTAGAAACACGTTATTGACGTCGAGTTGGCGGATTGGCCAAGACTTGTTCACAGCAATATGCAGAACGGAGCGGATCGTCGTTGCTTTAATGACCGGGCTAAAAGTCTCTTGAAAATCAATGCCTTGTTGCTGGAGGAATCCCTTCGCAACAAACCGTGCTTTGAACCTGTCAACATCACCATTAGGCAAGTATTTGATTGTGAAAACCCATTTACCTCCAACAACATTTTGGTGTGGTTCCGGTGGCACCAGTTCATACGTCCCATTTCTGATAATAGCATTAATTTCATCAAGCATTGCTTT